AAAGGGGGTCCAACCCAGTACTAGCAAGGTGTACCTAATAAAGTGGCCGGTGAGTGTAAATATACATAGTCAAAATACAAAGTTTCATGTATCAGAAACTGTACTCACTATAAAAAAAAAAATGTTGTCATCATGCTTTTCTTTGCTACAGTTAATGTCAGTATGTATTTAGAAAGAAAAGTAGTGATTTTAAGGCATATTTATAAGGCTCCGTTCACAGTTTTGCATGCACGCAATATTGCACGTCGCATGCAAAACTGCATCGCATGACGCAATGTTAGATGCACTGTGATGCCATTATTTCTTAATGGCACCCCAACACATGCAGCCATCGCATGTGCATTGTTATCGCACTACATCACATGGTAACTTGTTACCATGTAAAGTAGTGCAAAGTGATTAGAAAAAAGTTGCTTGCACTTCTTTCAGCACAATGTAGCCGCAGTAGGAGCCCATTCAAAAATAGACCGCCCTACTGCAGCACACCACAACGCACCTTGCAGCACCTCTGCACATCGCAGAGGTGTAAACGGGGGCTAAAGCAGTGAATGTGGTATTTGCCAGACTAAATCAACCATTGTAATTTAAATCTGCACCAGTAAGATACACCTGTAGTGAATGTTTGGTGAATATCACTTTCACTTATTCATAAATATACCCCTTTATTCAGCACACATTAAAAAAATATTTTTACATTCTAAGGACAACTACAATAATCTGTGAAAAAGCCGCTAATAAGAGAGACTGTCACTTTGTCTATTTAGAGAAAAGAGGACGTGACATCACTGATCCCTCTAGGTTCCCAAACCAGGTATTTTGGGGGCGGTTGCGATGGAGAAAAGAGTGGTGAGGAATTGCTGGAGAGTTGAGGATCACAGGCACTGTCACTTTGCCCTAAATAGTTCAGGTTAAGGGCCAAAACCCACTTTTGCAACTGGGTGGGTTGGGGTAACACGTGTATCAATGCACATGTTAATGTAGAGCACCTTATTGCACGTTACCTGCATTAGCATATTGTGGTGCTATTCATTTTAAAATGGCAACCAGATGCACTAAGCCAGGGATGGCTAAACTGCGGCCCTCCAGCTGTGGTGGAACTACGAATCTCATGAGTCTTTGCAAGATTTTTTTACAGCCACAGACATGCCTCCCGGAGAGAGATTTTTCATGGGATTTGTTGTTTCACTACAGCTGGAGGGCCGGAGTTGGCCATCCCTGCACTAAGCAAATGCAGCTCCAATGCAGATGCATTGCAATACACCACAATGCATGCTATTACTCTGCAGCATTTTTCAAACGCAGGGTTGTTGTGGTGTGCTGCGTCCCAGAAAAATGCTGCATGACGATTCCTGTGCATTGGCAGCCTATTCAAAATGACACTCAAAAACATTTTCCTACTATATGTACACAATCATATCCATGCACTCAAAGTGCAGGTTAAACAACCCAATCATATCTAAAAATATTTACTAAGCTCGCTATCTATAATAAAATTGCATAGCTCATTCAACCAGCGAAACTGTGGGTACATTCATTCTCAGGGATCCCAATCTGAAAAAAGTCATTTCAGGGAGGTGCCCTCTGCCCTCCCTAGCCCCCCCCCCCC